TGTAGCGCGCCCAAAACTACCCTAGTTTGGAACTACCCTAGTTTGGGTTGAGGATTCTCGGTTTAGGGCCTCCGTTTTAGGGAGGGATACAGGTGAAAGGTTCAGGATCGGAGTTTGCTATAGGAGCCTGAGTAATTGCCAGTAATATGATGAAAGATTCTTTGTATAATCATGGTATGGTGTACCTCAACTAGACTTTAAATGGTATCGGTAATTTCTTAGGCGCCTAAAGTAAGGTTGTCTAAGTTTTGCATGCTTTTGCGGGTTAGGATTAGAATTCCGGAGCACGCAGCAGGAGTCGAGGCGCACGAAGTACTGACCCTAAGCCTTAAATCCTAAACCCTGAAACCTACTTTGAAACTTCAAGAATTGTGTGGCACGGTGTAGGCACAGGATAAGCGGCAAGGAGGAGATGGAAAGTCTTCGTAGTTTGGTACCAAAGCTTACTTGCTTTCGTTATCCCAAGGGTGTGGTATGAGTCTCATCTATAGATGGGCATAGCAGGAGCTTCACCATACACTGCGTCCTCTTGGGTGTTACCTTAATGCAGGGGTGTCTGAACATTTCAAAGCTCATTCGGAAGTGCATATGGCAAGTCTCGGCATTTGAGGTGAAAGTGTCAATGTCAGCACGGGCAGGCGCTCTCAACCCCAAGCTTGACAACTGAGCCATATAGCTGGTTACCACCAGAAGGATCAGGGTGTGTTCGAGACAGTCTACAAGATTCTTGAAGCGAGTTCCCCAATATGATTAAACAATAACTCATGGTTATGTGTGGTCCTAATAGCCATTCGAGAATACCATTTGAGCTATAGTTTGAACTCCTTACATGGGGGTTATGAAGGGGACCATATAGGGGACTATTAAATGGGGAAGCCAGGAGTTTAGATTATGGCTCATTTGTTGCTATGCCCTTTACACTTGCTCCTGAAACCCTAAACGCAGATTCTGCCAGGATGGCTCTTTGGGCTACCAGGCGCTTTGGATGGGGCTGGATTGTTTGTAGAAACCTGATATTAAGTCAGGGTCTAGTCTAGGGTTTAGGGTTTAGTTTAGGGTCTAGGGCTTAGGGTTTGGGGAACTTAGATTGAGGTTTAAGGGTTGGTTCCCCTGCTGGATATTTAAGATAAGATGGAAACTGGGGTTGTATAGAGGTCATTCAGGGATTCATGGACAATCAGGACTTTCGACTTTTTGTTTTTGATTTGACTGATGATTTCTCTCCTGGGTGTAGGTAGAGAACAGGATTACCAAGATGTTTTACGGGGTGTGGTTTTGGTGTTTAAAGGGGGTTCAATCCCTAACCTTTAAGCTCTTAACCTTCAACCTTCCGCCTTGAACCCAACACCCTAAGCCCTAAACCCTAAATCGTGTGTAGGGCGTTTGGGCTTCAAGTTTTAGTTTTGGCTTTAGGATTGGCTGGAAGTGCTTCAACATTTTTGGGGTTAGGGTCTTAGGGCCTTGTCGTTCCCGGGTTCACAGGGTTCAATCCCAAACCCCTGAAACCCCAGGGGGTTGTAAAAGTAAAGCTTGAGGATTTGGGGCTTAAATCTTCTTGGAGCGTTGGGAGCTTGGGACTTTCAAGTTACCGGTATCTAGTGAATCTAGTGTTTCAAGTGGTAAGCTACAGGGAGGATTGCTTAAACTTAAGCCCTAGAGACCAGACTGGAGAATGGCTTAGCCATTTCGCAGGTCGAAGTTTGGAGTTTGGAGTTTTCGTTCATGTTTTACAGTTTATGGTTCAGGGTTGGTGCTTAAACTGGGGGAGGGCATCTATGTGGGGCCTTATGGCACTCCCGAGAAGGATACCCTCTGCACTCTCCCTAAAGCACCAGTTAAGTGTTATGGGGTGTGGGGTCAGGTTTTCATGGGTCAACCCTAAACCCTCAACCCTTAAACCCTTAAACCCTCAAACCATCTCAAACCCTAAACCCTTAGACCCTAAACCCCCTAAAACCCTAGACCCTAAACCCCTGAAACCCCAAACCCTAAGGTGTAATTAGAGTTCAGCCATGAGGCTTCAGGGGCATTGGGCAAATCTGTCAAGCTTACGTTCCCCGCCCTAAACCCTAATCCTAAATCCATTTCCATAAGGTCTGGCCCCCACTGCCCACACCCTTGTCTTTGAACCCATGCCCTACCTTGGACCCAGAAGACCTCCACTTTTCGAGTTTCATAATGTAAGGGTTCAACCTAGAGTCAAATAAAACTGAACGTCTCTGGGCTTAAGGTAAACCCTAAGCCTTAAGCCCGAAACCTTAATCTTTGAACCCTCGCCCTAGCCCCAAAGCCTTTCTTTGAGGGTCAGGGGGACTCAGTAAGTATACTTGCCCCTAGCAAGCAGCCCCAGTCATCCCTTTAAACCTGATTCCGAAGTCTCCCTGGCCCTGACAAGTAAACCCCCAAACAAACCTTAAGCCCCACACCCATACCCCAAACCCGAAACCCTAAACCCTGCACCCCGAAGCCTAACCTCCAAACCTAAAACCCTAAACCCTAAACCCTGAACCCTAAACCCTTAGTCTCAAACCCAAAACCCTTGGTGCTAAACCCTAAACATCCTAAGCCCTAAGCCCTGCTAAGAGCTCCTGCCAGGTCAACTACAAGGGTGAGTCCCGGGACATGTCTGCCATCCAGGCACTTCAGGTTTAAGGTTTAGGGTTTAGGATTTGAGGGTTTAAGCGTTGAGAGTTTAGGGGTTTAGGGTCCTTAGAGGGGTTGCATTTGATATAAAGTCAGTTTAGGGTTCAGGGACAAGGTGTAGGGTTTCGAGTTTAAGAGCCTTAGAGGGATGGTATTTGATATGTCAGAGTCTAAGATATACAGGGTAATACAGGGTTAAGGGTTGTTCAGGGTTTTTTTAATTGGGATCTAGGGTTGTAGACTCCAAGTAGAAGCTTCCCAAAACCAGAAGGGATGCCACTGTTTTGCAGAAGGCAGCCAAGACTTGGCTTGAGCATCTCATTGCAAACATGTAGCCCGCGAATTTAGCATCTCGCCAGGCTCTTGCACTGGTTTCGTAGGGGTGCATGGGGCTTTCCATTTGTTGCTGTCCCTCAGCCTTGCACGAAGTTGAGTTCTGCTTCATAGGCTGTAGTTTAAACGCCTCATACAGTGGCTTCATCTACTGGACCCTTGGCAACACTACACCTCCGAGTAGCAAAGTATACAATCCTATTGCTGAAGCCGAAGTGAGGAGCAGCAAGACCTGTTCACTTAAAGTCAACATGCGAGCATGTGGCCTTCAGCTATGCTAACGAAATCCATGGTTGAAGATCCTCTGAAGTCATTGCTGGGGCACAGGGCGGTAGGCTTTTAGGGCTCAGTTTTTCTAGACCCTACCCACATACCTTGAAGGAGTAAGGGGTAAGGGAAGTACTTCGAAAAGCTCACTATGGGTTGCTTTAGGGTGGCTATAGAGATGTTAGAACATGCTATTGAGTAAAGTTCTCTTAGGTGGACCCCCCACCCTGTAATAGTGGTATAAAAGGAATATAAGAGGACCCCAATATAGTTACTACTGTCCCTTATAGTCACTATTACTGGGTGGGGGGGTCTACCTAAAGTATCTCAAACAAGCCATGAGGTGACCGCGATGTTTTTGACGAAGCTTCGGGACCTCACCGAGAAGTGGACGCAGAGTAAGGCTTCTGAGTGGGATTTGCGGGGTGTTTGAACGTTTTGGGGTTTAGGGTTTAGGGCATAGGGTCTCAGCTTTACATGTGTACCTTGCTGGCTTGGGATGTTTGTACCTACTTACAGCCGCAAAATGCCTTGCTTGAGGGATGTGGGTTTCTAGGCTCAGGCTTCTGAGTTTGTGCGCAGCAAAGATTAAGGTTTAGAGTTTAGGGGTCTAGGTTTGAACCCTAAACCCTAAACCTTAAACCCTAAACCCTGAACAGCTGTATAGGTTTTTCAATGCGAGTGAGAAACGGCCTGATGGGATAAGGATCATTGGTCATGGACAGGGAAGTCATCCTCATAAACTCCTATATGAGTTTTTGGTCTGAACTCCTTAACGGAGGTTATGTAGGGGAGTATTGTAGGGGTTGTAAAGGGGGATACTAGGAGTTTAGACTATGGTACATATAACTAGTTTCCATTTCATTTCCCATTTTCTTGTCCATCTGATTCTCCGTTATTGGGCCTTGGTGGCAGGTGCTGTAGAGACTCCTTCTTGAGGGTTGGATGGTTTTTTTCCGGTTCCGGGTTGTTGGGATGTAGGGTTCAGGCGTATGAGCTACTGTTAGGGTGCTCTCCAGGGTATGTTATAGGGGTAGATAGGAATAATTGCAAATCGAATGTAAACAAATGGGAACATTACATTGACAACGGAATGGAGACTTTTGAAAGCAGGGCCGTTGCATTGCACAGGTAGCACGAGCCTATCGTCAACTGAGTTCTACAAGAGGTGACACAGCATCTACGACAAATGTGTGAGTAAGCGTCCAGATAGCAACTGCTCAAGTAACGCTGCAAAGGTAGACCCATGATAGATCCATTTTCTTTAGTCCCTGCATAATCCTTGCAAATTCTTTGTTACATAATGCTGCTTACGTCGGCGTGCGCTGCCAGAGATGTGTCCCAAGCGCTGGAAACCATTGAATGGAAGTTTTTCAGACAATCCTGAGTATCAGTAACCAATTTTACGCTCAGCAGGTGATGGTGGGATTTTCTTCTAAGCACGTGTGATGGTGGCGACAAAATCAGCACTCCAACCCTATCACTGCTTAGTTGCTCATCGCGCAGCTGGCACCTACTATTCCTAGAAGCCCATCATAGATCCACCTCTTGGGGGGGTACTTCCTGGTGCTCGAGTAGAGTGTAGGGAGTAGATCCTTGTAGTAACCCATATAGAACCTCCCAAGCTTGTGTATTCACTCCTCCGTAGGCAAACCTAAACCCTACTGTACCTTTCAACTTTTTCCATTCCCTCCTCGCAGAGTACTGCTGCAATGTCTATGCTACTGAAAGCTGCCGCGCTGCGACGCGCGCCCTTCATGTGCTTCGCAAAGAAGGCTCCCAAGACTCTGCCTTCCTACGATGTTGACAGGGACTTTCAATATTTCTTCTTCAACGACATTATGGCCGAATGGTCTGGATTGACCCCGGCTTTCCTGACAAGCGGGCGCAATGCAAAAACGGACTTCCCAGTGGACTTCCCGGCATACTTTGAGGATGACGCTGCTGTATGCATGGACTACGACTTTCCTCTGGTGAAGAAGATCATTGAGCACTGGCAGCCTCCACATATGAACACCGTTCTGCATACCCGAAAGACCGCCATGCATGATGCCTCGGGCGAGAAGTTTATGCTGCTTGGCAGAGCTCTTCTGCAAACTTTGTACTTTTCTACTTCCGCGAGTCGTGTTCTTCATACTAGTGTGAGATTCAACTCGAAACACTGAAGAACCACGAACGGGTGCTAAACACTGAATTGTAGTGAGGGGACCAACCCCTAAACCCTAAACCCCTGACCTTAAACCCTAAACCCTAAACCCTTAAAGCCCCGCCAAGGTTGGGTTGTGTGGCCCATGTGGACGACCTGGAACTTGGCATCACCACGTTCAGCGCCAGGAGCAGCCCCGCCAAGGAGCAGCCAGCTCTTACACATGTGGGGGGTTGTCAAAGGGGGATATATGGGAGTTTCCCAAAATTAGGGGTACCATTTTGGGGTCCTTACAATAAGGATTATAGTATATTGGGGTCTATATTGGGGTCCCCCTATTTAGGGAAACTGCCATATAGGGTGTTTAGGGTTTAGGGTTTAAGGATTAGGGTTCGGGGTTTAGGGATTAGGGCTTAGGTGCTTTGGGGGTGAATATGGTGGTTATTTAGCATTTAAGGTTTAGGTTTGGGGTTTCCCAAAATTAGGGGTACCATTTTGGGGGTCCCTATATTAAGGATTTTGGTATTTTGGGGTCTATATTGGGTTCCCCTTATTTTGGGAAACTATCATGGCGGGGGGTGGTTTGTCAAAATGGGTTCTCAAGCGTTTCGGGTTTGGGGTCCCTTTTTAAAGGGGGTCGGGAGATGTGGGGTTGAGGGATAAGGGAGGATGTCAGGTGGGGTTCTGCAAGTTGTGGATGTCGGGTTGAAAATTGTGAATCAAATTGAAAATACAAGGGAAAATGCAATGGAAGCTGGGTCTAGATAGGGGTTGATAGGAAATATCATTAGGAGGGGTGGGTGTTCTCAAAGTGGTGAGCAATGTTTTGGGGTGACCTCCTGCAATTCACTAGGAGCTCATTTTTACCTATACCCTAAGCCCCCAAAACCCCAAACCCTAAACCCCAAAACCCCTAAACCCCAAACTCTAAAACCCAAAGCCGAATTTCCCAAGACCCCCAGGTGAATGCCGAGTGGTTCGAGGCAGCTTGGTCTCATCTTCCCCAAGGAGCATGCCTGGTCGATGTTCAAAGTGGGGAGCTGTCGCATGACACTGGGCTGGTGTTGGAGGTTAGCGGTTTAGAGGTGTAGGGTTTTTTGAGGGTTTAGGGTTGTTTAGGGGTCGTGGAGTTTAGGGATTTGAGGCTTAGGGGTTTAGGGGTCGTGGAGTTTCGGATTTTGGGGTTTTAGGTGTTAAGGTCCAGGGATGGGTTTGTTGTTGAGGAAGCGAATATAACAAGGGTCTGGAATTGGTAGTCCTTGCAAGGGTCATTGAGTTTAGATTGGGTACTGCCCCCCCTCAGTAACAGTTGGATAATAATTCTAATATGATTATATATATATAGCCCTGAATAGGACCCCTAATATAGACTGTTAGTGGGTGGGGGCAGTACCCAAAGTTTAGATTACTGCAAAATCATCGAGGTCAATGCAATGTGCGAGCTCAGTCTGCCTGGGCAAAGTACCTTCCAGTCGGCGGCTGCAGCTTGCATCGACCGGGCGCGCCACACGCAAGATGCTTCTTGCTGGTCCTTTGGGGCTGTGGAGGGTCTTCTCAAGGACGCGAAAGCGCGAGTCTGGTTGTGGAGGATTGGAGATCATCCAGGGCAACTGGCCATGAGTTATCGGCCCACCGCTACGATGAAGGACTTGAGGGAGTGGTATTCAGACAGAAAGGGTCCACACAGAAATTGTGAAGACCTGTTCGATTTGATGCAAGGCGAGTGATCAGAATAGGCGGAGCCAAAAAGTTAGAATACCTTAAAGCACGACATGCCAAGCGGAATTTGTCAGAACAGCCCATGTAGGGTCCCACTGCACAGCCCAGGCCTATTTGATCTCCACTTTCATTATTGTCATACAACCCTAAACCCTAAGCCTTTCTTATGACAGCTACTACTACTACTACTACCACTACTACTACTACTACTACTACTACTACTGATCCACCATTGTTATTCTTATTGCAATCGCTGATGATATAACTGCCAATGTGATCTCGACACATTCTTAGTATCCATTTGGCCACGTGGGTGCCACCCTTATGGGAGACCCGTCCAACCGATTTTGGATCAGTTCTTGGGGTTTAGGCTAAACCTCATTTGAGGTCGTCCACAACCTTTCATCACCCGAACCCTAAACTCTGAGCTTTCAGGCTCATGCGAACGATCTGCTTTAGGGTTTGGGGTTCAGGGCCTTTTCAGGGAAGGGGAGACAAGGAGGTAGAGGTTTCTTTGGAGAATATACATATATGTATGAATACAGACTGGGTATGTTAGGATTACATATGAAGTACTTCCCCCGTACTCGTCCCAGATTTGGGGTTAAGTGTTGCGTTTTTTTGGGTATTCTAAATACCAACAGTATAGGTAGACACATTCTCGCAGACGCTAAATCACCTGGCCGTATTAGCAAAAGCTGCCATGATCTGTATGGAACAGCTCTATGTCAAGACAGCGTAAGATCTATATTGTCCAAATCAGCTTGTGTAAGCGCACTTTTACGTGTTGGATGCGCTCACGTTCACACCAAAGCACATGGGAAAACAAACACGTAAACAGACCCAAATTCCTGCATGGACAACAATTTCCCCTATATTTTCCTGTACACACTTACAGGAACCCCAAATGATTTCCCCAAATGACCTTTACATCACCCCCCGCATATGCCCGTGAAAATGCCCAGTGAGTGGTTTCTAGGACACCCCCAGATGAGGAGCCACGGTGGGTACCTTCATGTAAGGCTCATTAAGGGCTCGTGTAAGGGGAAAGGACCTGTAGGAGGTCTTGTTGGTACATAGCCCCCAACATGCTATAATCCTTATTCTTGGGACCCCCAAAAGGGTAAGCCTAATTTTGGGAAACGCCCATATAGGCTTCCTTTAAGAGTTACCCGCCTGATAACTACCCCTATGTTTGGGTTTATTGATGCTTCACAATACGGCCAATGTAACCCAGAATTGTAAGTTTCAGGGTTTAAGGTTTACGGTTGGTAGAGGTGACTACCTGGATCCCAGATGCAGAATAATGCGAAAGCCGCGGAAACAAATGTTGAAAGGCGATTATTCTAGATACTTTGGCGGTCCAGGATAGGGCCAGTCATGTAGGGTTTTAGGGCTTAGGGTTTAGGGTTTAGGGTTCTTCTCATGCATTTCAACTTGCGGAAGGTGGCCGACTGCGTCATCGGTGTGCCCTCCTACTACTCAGATGTGCACAGACAGGTGCCCTCATCAAACTGGGTTGCTGTTAAAGAACTTAATTTAAGTTACTATATTGGGGAAGCCCTATAAATTACTATATATATATATATCCAGTATGGTCACTCAATTTAAGTTCCTTGACAGCAAGCCAGTAAAGGAGGAAGCTTGACTTTTGAGGGCTGCAAGCCTTGCAGGGCTGATGAGAGCTAACTTTTTTGATTCAGGAATTTGGATTCACGGTTTAAAAAGGCCGACGGGCATCCTTTCTTTGGGATCTCTGCATAGGATACCGATGTTATGCCCCAACCCAGACCCCTAGAGTGATCTAGAAAGTAGATGCCCCTTAAAGGGTTCCTGGACATTACCCAATAGTAGCATAGCGTACCATGTTGGGGGTTCTACTTTCCAGATCCTACCAGGGGTCTGGGAATTTTGATAGGCATCCACTTTCCGAGCACCCTCAACCCTTGAGCCTTGGAGCTTTATGGCCTCCTTAAACCTTCAGGGTTTCGGGTTTAGGGCTAACCCTTAAACCAATAACATGGAAGCCTTCCACCCCACTAACAGTAGATTTTGCCAGTGTGTTATGTAATAAAAAAGCTGGGAAGATCTAATCCTTGAGGGTGGGGGTTCTAATATGAGGGGAGAGAGGGGAGGAACTGGCAAAACCCTTATACCCTAAACCCTCAGCCCTAAACCCTAAACCGCTGCTTGTTGTTGGGCGCGAAGGCTTTGAGCACGGCTTCTTGGTATGTCCATAAGGATGCCAGGGGGGCTCGTGTCCGCAGCTGTCTTCAAGATGCTAAGACCCTAAACCACCTGCATTACCAGACCTAGAAACTAGAACTCCCAGCACTGTTTTGAAAATTGCGGTCGGTGGTTTCCACGAAAATTTCTCCAAGACTCATGCAATCAAGAATGCTCTTTCCTCCGTATAGCTTCGCGGATATTACTCAACTAGCGGGCTCTTGAGGTTCGGGGAACTTATGCGAAACAAGCCCTTGACTGCTTAAGCCCCAGCCCCCTTTCCAAATGCCAATCCCTCAATGCTCAACTCCAATCCGAAGCTCAACCACTAAACCCTAAACCCTAAACCCTAGGCCCGAAAAACTAAACCCACATAAGAACCTGGGGAGTACCTTTAACCCCTACCTTATACCCTAAAGGCCTTGATCTCCACTCTTTCAGGCCAGGATCTAGACCATATGGTCCTATGATTGAAAGCTTGTTGCATCTGAGGTAAAACCTAAACCGAGAAGCCCATTCATATAAGACCCTAAAACCTAAATCTTAAGGATTTGGACCTGACCATGCGGTGCTGTAGCTGAGGCATGTAGGATCTAAGGTAAAACCGAAACCGAAAAGCCTATGTGAGTCAGCCAGCCCTCGACAGGAGAGCACATAGCCCCATCTCACCTGAAGCCGGGTTTAGGGTTTACCTGAATGGTGGTTTCCCGTTTCTTTGAATCCTCAACCTTAAACCCATTGTCCATTCCGCGCTGAGTAGTAGTTTCAATTTCCAGTTCCATGTGCAAAACCCCGAGAAGTAGTTGCATCTTGTTTTCCATGGCTTGAACCCCTGTAAACCCTAAACCCTGAATAGTAGCTTCCATCTTCTTTTCTGTTCTTCAAATTCCAAGCCCTAAAGACCGCCCAATGTTTGAAACCCTGTGCGCTCTAATCTTCCACCTTCCTTTCCATTCTTTGAACCCCTAGTCCTAGGGCCGGCAATTCTTGGAAACCTCAAACCCTAATCCCTTAACTATTATCTCTATCTTCTTTTTCATTTTCTAAACCCCCAAAAGCCTAACGAGTCCCCCATTCTTAACCCTTCAGGACCGAACCCCCAAAACCCTAAATGGGTGGTTGTCAAAATTATGGTCCCCTTTTGGATCCCTAATACAATACGGCACCTAATATTTAGGGCACCCAAAAAGGGACCACCATTTTCACAGCCACCCAAATGACTTCGCAGGCGCTGCTGGATGCTGCCAAGATCGCCGGACTGCCTGTCCTTCGCCTCGCGGCTCAAAAGCCTGAAAAAGCCCTAAGCGCCTACACATGGAATCTCCGAAAGAGTTGTATCAGGAGCATATGAGCCATAGTCTAAACTCCTTAAAGAGGGGTTGTAGACGGGATTATGTAGGGACTACTATAGGGGTTACTAAGGGGGGTACTGGTAGTTTAGGCTATAGCTCATATAGGGTATATGATATATGCAGGTATGTATGGGGATTTGTAGGATTCGGGGCTTAGGGACCAGGGTTTCTTTCTGGCAAATTAGCATGAAAGTTCATATAGCGCCAGATTAAAACGACTGAAGTCTTCGCAGGGGTGTTGTGGGGTCAAGTAGACAGAAGGATGGTTTCAGGCGGGTAGTTATCAGTTGGCGGCCTAGATAAACCTCATAGGCCTACTTCCCCAAACCCTAAACCCTAAACCCCAAATTCTGACTCCCCTGAACCCGAGAACAGCATATGAGCCCTACGGCGCGGTGTCCGCCTGGCAGCTACCCATCGGGAACTGATCTTGAGAGACTATGGGTTTAGGGGTTTAGGGTTTAGGGCCACCAAAGTGGAACCCTGAACCCTAAACCCGAAATCTTAAATTTCAAATCCTAAGGTCGAAGTGTCATTGAAGCTTACCTGGTGGATTGGGAATTATCGGCCAAGGGTGTGCAGAGGAGAACCTGCATCACTTAGGATCCCCCAAAATGTTGTTGCTCCCAGGATATAGGGTCTTTGGGAAGGGGCCCTACGCATGTACCTAGAACCGGAGATTCCTTTTGATTATGATGGGGATTCCCTGGCGGGACCCATCAAACCCTAAATTCCTAAGCGCCGAAGCTCTTAACCCTCTACCCTAAATCTTAATTTTTTGAAGTCAGGGATGAGGGTTTAGGGTTCGAAAGCAAAATCTGGCGGCCCTCAGAGACCATGGGAATGAGAAAGAGAAATATATACATATACACAATTATATATATATATATGTACATGTATATATACATATACATTATTGTTTGGGTTTAGGCTTTCGGGTTCTGGGTACTGCGCACGGAACTTGGGGATCTCCTGAAGGATGATTTAGTTTCTTGAAAAGCCCCCATGAAAATGGAACGGAAGATACACATGGAAGGGTTTAGGGTTAGAGTTTTTCTGTCAAGGGCCTCTACAGAGCGGATAGGGATTGTGTAGGAAGGTTACGGGGCGTATATACACTTTGCCAAACGAACGAACACCCAAACGGGCCTTGCAAAGACCATGGTCTTTTGTTGAAAGGTTGTTTAGGGTTCAGGGTTTTCGGGCTTAGGGTTTTTGGGTTCGGGGTGTTAGGGTTTAAGATTTTTTGGTTCAGGGTGTTAGGGTTTAGGGTTTTTGGGTTCAGGGTGTTAGGTTAGGGTTTAGAGTTTAGGGTTTAGGGTTGCCTGAAAGGATGGCGGTCTTCCTTGCCCTGTGCATCTGTACTGAGGCGTCAACGTTGCAACCTTTCCCAGGCCTAAAGCTTCAGAACTTCACCCGACATGGTGCGG